GTGAAACATTTAAAATTGACCAACCAAAAAAAAAAACGGTTCAGTTGAAGAAACTTACCTACCATCTAATATTTCTTCTTGTGTTTGGCTGATCGTCGTATTATTTTGTTATTTTGTGCAGCACATCGTGTTCGGTATGACGGCAATCTTGGCTTGGATTATCCCCGATGTTCCGAAGGAAGTTGATAATCAAGTCAAGAGAGAGAACTTTCTTGCCCGCGAAGCCTTACGGTCAGCAGATCAACAAGATTCTGTCTCTCCAGTCCCTAGGGAAAATTCGCGCGGCCAGGATGAAATGTTGTGAAATGTTGTAGAATGTCGTGTTTTGACAGAAGTTATCTCGTAGTCAACGAGTATCGGTATAGGTAGTTAAATCTGATAATACCACCGTCGCATATTTTGAATAATTTCTTGTGGTAAACGTAAGGCAAAGTTCGAAAATCTTCACCAAAAGCCAGTGCTTTTCACAAGCTGCGTGTCATAGCTCGCTGACCCATACGATTGATAGTCTTCATTTATAAACTCAGTTTAACCTTTCTAATAGCAAATGGTCAGTACGTGTCTGTTTTAGATAGAATAAAGGGGGTACGTCTCTAAAGAAACTGTGGTGCTGCGTCGGTGGGAGAGTATAGCAGGTAATTTACTGTTAAATAACTAAGTTGAAAACGTAAATTGGCCACCGTAAAGAGTAAAAAGCTGACGTTTCGAGCGTTAGTCCTTCGTCAGAGCGATGGCGAAGGGCTAACGCTCGAAAAGTTCTGACGAACTGACTGAAGGGCTAACGCTCGAAACGTCAACTTTTTTACTCTTTACGGTGGCCAAATTTACGTTTTCGACTCAGTTGTTAACACTAAATTATCTGTTTTACATAGATCAGCTTTCTACTTAAACAGTGTAAAACTTTATAGTAAAACTAACACCGTACAAGATTAATTATTGGTATTCATAGTTGGTTTGTGTGGTGACTTGATGTGCGCGTAAGGTGACATGTGAAATTGCCGTAGGGAACGAACTATTTTTCTTTTGATTGTCAGGTTCGTTTCTTTAGCCTCAACTGAAAGACCTCGAGAATTTAAGACACTTGCTGATACAAAGCTTTTCCATTCCTTCATTACTTATTATACCTTTTTTTACTGGCATTGAGCGGCTTTAAGAGAATACCAGGTCTTTTGGTTACTTGAGATACAATATTTATTTTTCCAATGAAGCCATCCAAATACATTAATGCCGTGCTAAAGTAAAGGAGTAAGAACAGATCCATCTAGGACTTGTTTGTAACAGTAATCAAAATAAACTGCTAGGCAATACAGACTTTGTAACAGTAATCAAAATAAACTGCTATGCAATACAGACGCCTGCGTAGCTCATGATTTTGTCACTCCGTTTTCCTACGGCGATTGCATTTTCTGTTTGAGTCACAACATAAAACGCCAACGGGCCAGACGTTAGCGTTATTGATATGCGAAATCTAGTGAGGGATCATATCAATTCGTTTCCACCTTAGTTTTAAAACTAAGGTTTTAAAACTACGTTCCTTGGATTCGTCGATGCCTGAACTAAGAGAAAATGAAAATTAAAGGGTGTATGGACTCCTGTAGAGGGGCTAGTAATGGCGGGATTAATCAACTAAAAAACCTTAAAGACAGAGCTGAGTGGGTAAGGAGGGAGTTTCTCTCATAGGACTCCGTGGGTTGTCTTGGGGTATCTTAAGGGGCACGAGACTTGCAGGGGTCAATGGAAATAGCAAAGCAGCTTTGCACTTTCGTCTCATCAATGTACTTCTGATTTAGTAGGATACGCTGGTTAATTCTCAGTACACCTTTTTTTTTTTTTTTAATCCATACAGACTCGATGTAGATTGGAGAAGAGCAAAGTACTGTTATTATCACGCCTGAGCTTAACAATCATTCCATGTGCCAATTCTAGGTTGCCAGTTACTTTTACTTAATTTTTTTAGTTTTTTTGTTTGTTTGATTAATTTTTGTTGTTGGTTTTTTATGCGTTTTACAGTTTTAAGTCTGATAATCCGTCCCGCTCTCAAGGTATTACCGAAATTTTCTTCACTTTTTCCATGAAAGGGAAGTCGCATTCGGTCGAATATAAATCTTA